ATAATAATAATAATAATTTTTCTTTGCGAAAGCGAAGTGCGAGAACAAGCACAACAGGGAACGCATTCGCAACATTCACCGGGAGTTCCCCGTTACTACAATTTCTAGACCCGACTAGACGCCAGTCTAAACTGACATGCATGCGCGTGCTTGTCTAAAGATAGAATGTACGTCATACTTATCTGAAGCACGAATTATATAAACACGCGATGTGAACGCACGTTGCATACGTACGTGCATGTTCTGCTGCGGGGGAGGTCAAATCATCACGTTTTACTGTACACAGAATACTCCATTGGTGTTATTGCTGGAGATTCATGCACAAAACGTGCAATATGTGTCAAGAATCAAGCAGCGAAAAAGTAAGTGTTTGCTTGTGTTTTATTTCATCGCAAGGAAGTTTTGCTTTTACATTCATTTGGTTCAAAATAAATTTGTTGAAATAAAAATTTGTTTCAATTTTTTTAAATGTTGATGTTTGATAGATTTTTATGGTGATGTGTAAAGGTAAGTTTTGGTTTCTTTTTGCCAACATTTTCCATCTGAAGATGAAGACTTTTCAAATTTTATGATAGAGATTAACTGCGTACGTGAACAAACTCACTAATTTTTTATTTTTTTTGTTTTAAAGCTTTGTGATGGAAAAAAAGCGGAACTACTACCAGACATGGTATCGCTAGAGAAACTACAACTCAGTCAGCGGCAGACTGCCCAGAAAGAACTGGAAAACGAGCGCCTTATAAACCAGCTGAAGGAGGTAATTGCCATGAATGTAAGATGGCAAAGGTACGACGACCAACGCGAGACGTACGTCCGTAAGTTACACGCGGCTAACAGGGAGCTACATAGCAAACTCGCAGCGACAGAGAAGACATGCGCAGAGCTGCAACAGCAAATGTCCCGCAAGAATTTACAAGAAGAGCGCCCAGACCTCTCGGGTTCAACATCACCGCCGAAAGATTCCAAGGCGTCGCAGGAGAGGTCCGATCGAACTGTGCCTTTTTGTGCCCTGGACGCTAAGTTTGCTAGGAAGGAGAAAGAGATTGCTACTTTGACGGATCAAATTGAACGTCTTGAAGCACAGATTGCATCCTTGCAGAGGTCAGAGGCAAAAAGACGAGACGATGAAGAAGAACACATTGCACTCTTCAAAGCTCAGGTATGCGGTTTTCTTTCTTGATGGTTTCATTTGTTGCATGGTTTATTCGTCTTTCATCTATGCATCTTTATTGGGTCGATCGATATGTTGTATAGTGCATTTTGTTTCTTGTCGGTCCTGTTCGTCAGAGTTCGTGGTGCCGTTGTGTCGTTCTCGTATAAACTAGCAATACTATTCTACTTTCTCCTTTGCAGTTAGAGGTATGCATGGAGGACTTCAGACAAGAGAGAAGCGATCGCGAGAGAATAAATGCCGAGAGACAGTGTCTAAGACAACAGCTGGATGAATCTGAGCAAACAATTACCAGACTTCACCAAGAGGTATGTCATCTTGAAAAGTCTTACCACAAGAAATTTATAAATTTACATTTAGGTTAACTGTTCAAATTATTTTAACACATATTTACTTTTGAAGTGAAACATTTTCACGTGATATTTGTGATTTGAGTTTGAATTGCACAATTAGTGATAAGAATGACGTCACGCTGATGACATTTACAAACTGATAAGAAATGAGCTGGACTCAAAGAACCGAGGATAACGATTTATTTTGTGCTGACGTCATTAAGATGTCTGACTTCATGGTAGAAAGGTTATCCATACATGAGTTGTGAAATCGTGCTAAACTCTAGCACTTGTTAGTACAGTGGCATCCTTAATACGGGATGAGTTGTAAAAAAAAAAAGAGAGAGAAAAAGGTATCGTTTTGTATTTACATCCAAGCAGTAAAAATGAGCAACTTTTAACATTTCTTTTTGAAGGTTGCTGACCTTGTTGAGGAGATTTGTTGGTTACGAGACCGACCTTCAAGGTTGACTCATCACTACAGAGACCCGACTGTGGGAGCCGCATCCCCTGGTCTAACCCATCATTATAGGTACTACCCAAACTCTGCGTCCAAGAACTACACCAAGAGGAGAGGCGTGCCGGAAACGACAAGGCGAATGAGGGCTTACTACGGACATGATGTACCCGACCAGGATTCGGTATGTCATTTACCTAGCGATGTCACGATCGATGGCGAGGACAGTAACGATGGTGTCACATCGCCGTCTGCCGTTATTCCAACCGCATCCTTGGCTGAGGGCGATTCCGATGCGCTAGTTTCGATCGACGGTGGTAACGGGAAGGCTTCATCGCTCGATATGACAGAAGTACGAGACTGTATCCACGATCTTAGCGACGAGGCTACTGAGGAGAAGCCCTTGGCATGTCCGCTTTGTCTGATCGAGTTCCCAGTGGAAAAACACGCCGAGTTATTGAAACATATTGAGCTCTGCTCTGGGGATACGGACATCCCCGCAGACTAAGCTGAAAGCTAACTATGGGTTTCACACCTATCCAGTTTGAAGTGACTTTCTACTTCTATACTTTGCGTAATGCATTTATTTTTCAACTCATTTCAACAGAACGTGTTGTGCCGTTTAGTATAATGGCTTTAAAAAACTGCACAAAAAATTTAATGCACTTTATAAATATTTTTGTATTAATTTCTTCGGGTCCTTATTTATTTGCTTCATGAGGCTTTGTCTCTAATTCAGGTCTTTTTGAAAGTTTCAAAATGTTACATATGGTTTGATATCTGGAGCGAAATATAAAATGTACATGTATTTTAATATCGTTATTGATATATTTATTTAATATATATTTCAAAAGACCAAAGACCACAAGTACATATATTACATGTATATATTTAACATTTTACCATACAATTTTTTAATAATAAATTCTTATCAGCCGTAAGTGATTGATGGATTTACACATGTTTCATGAAAGTTTTTATATTGTATACTGAAATGCTTCATTTCGATTTCAATATTTGTACAGTGTTGCTTTGCTATTTAACAAAGAAGAGCATGCGCTCCCTTTTCTGTTCTAAGACGTTTATATTTTTCTGTTTAACCTATTTATTATATAACTAGTCTGATTTGAATAAATCAACTGTTTTCAAACATTCCAAAAGTTATGCATAGTTTTTATATCATGAGATTATAGTTTTCCAAAGAAATTATTTCTTAGAAAAAAGACACTTTCAAACCCGGGCGTGTTGATCTGTTTTTCTTCTTCATTTGTGACTTACATTTCAGGACTATAAATCTTTTAATTCTTAAATATAATCGTAGAAATTATGTCATGTATCAGATTTCCAAAATAAAATTCTTCTAACTTTGCAATTATAGTTTTGTAGTTCATAGTTTATTTATGCTGAATTCATGTTTTCTTTGGTCAACAGATTTCAGAAATTACTCTCAGTTTTGTTGGCTTCCGTTCTAAGGGTCCGTTATTACGTAATGTGTCGAAATCATAACTTTAAAATGACGGATATTACACGATGCTGCCATGGGGGTTGGAAAAGGATTGCCGTCATGTTCAAGGTTGCTTACTGATACCAGCTTCCGTTTATACCCAGTTACCCGACCAAGACACTGCACCCACTGGGTGTGGGTTTATTTATCTGCGTGGGTTCTGTTTTGTCAACCTATTCCGTTTCGATGAAACTAGACTGGTTGTAAGTGGGTGCCTCGCCCACACTAAGTACTCAGCCTTGCACCCAGTACACTATGACATTCAACCGAACCTACACTCGACATGACTACGTTATTTCTCACGGTAGTCTAATGCCTTGTATGGTAATGCAGATTTACATGAGACCAGTCAGTGGGTGTTCAATGCCGGTTTCCTGTAATACAACCAGTGATATAAGCATGAATCACTTGCTTTTGTCTTTGTTCAATTGACAGATCTGTAACTTGGCACGTCCAAACTAGCTGTTATTTTGCTTGACTTAATACAGCGCACCTTTTGGCTTTGTGGTTGGCCATTTTGTGTGCAATTTGAGCTGTTTACTGCATTTAGAAGAGGTCAAACGAAGTAAACATTTTTACCGGTAGTATTCTCAACCTCAGTTCAATAATAGAGGAAGGGTTTTACCCCCAAATGCATGGTTTGATAGACCTATGTTAAAGGTGTTTTCAATTTGTGAATGCAAATGTTTTCGAAGTGTGAGATTTTGGAAATAGAATCAATAATTAGTGTAACAAAAAAGCCGATTTTGTGAAGCAAATTTAACTCTTACAGTGCCGCTTTGTGTCCAGTATTACATATCCCCAGGCCAGCCAAAATTTGAAAAAAGAGGAGTGTTTATAATGTCCCAACTTTAAATCTGAATTCAGTTTGAACGTACACGGCACGTTTTTAACTACCTGTACCATCATGAAAAAGGGATGTTGAACGCTGGACACTTTGCACGTAGGCCTACGTATTCCTGTCACGAAGTTCATGCATTATCTAATCTCAGCTGTAATGTCTACCCTACCATCCCCTTTATTAAAGTCAGGAAATTTCACTTTTAAAAGTTCGGTTCCCGTTTCGCCCAGCTGTTGAGAAATGTTTGTATATTGAATGACCAGGGAATTATAACAAACGCAAATGTTAGGAAGAAGGGATTTCCCCAGTGCATAGTTCGTCCAATCCCTTTATGTAGCACTAGACATTACTTCACCGGCTTTCCCTGGATGGGTGTGCAATACATGTGTGAGTGAAATCACGGGAACCCTCGAGAGGAAGTATTTCAATTTGGTGGGGTGAATGAAAGATGTCAGCATTACATCCCTCTTGTCAAATTGCTTTTTACTCCTGTATTTCCCAAGATCTGAGAGAAGTTTGGGGTAAGCGGGGAATCATGCAGAGAACCTCATGCTGACGCTCCAATTCTAAATATTGCCGTTTCGAGATCGAAACACTTGAATATTTACCCTTCTTTACCTGTACCTCAAAATGTTAACCACAGAGTCACCTACATTACAAAAGTTTGATTCACCTCCCAACCAAAACAAAGTTAAAGAATCCAAAAATGTCAAAATCTGTCAGCCTAAATCTAAAACCGCAGATATTATTGTTGGGAGACCGTCTGCGCATTAAAGGGACAAATAGGACAGACGCAATCACGTTGTGTGGGACAAACTTTGCCGACATGACAGTTCTTGGTCTACATTTCAACATGTCTGTTCATAATGCAGGACCCAATAACAAGAATAATTATGTGTGTAAGTATGCCGTCCGCAATCTTTTTGTGTATTTTGATAATTTTGATGGCTTGGAGCCTACAAGCTGGATTGCTCCGTGGATAGAGACGTCCATTGTCTTATTTCATCAGTTACAAGATCAAGTTCCAGCATAGATGAAATAGTTTTTTTATCCAGTCATTTGTCAGAAAACAATATCCCCTTCACAATTGCATCAACTGAGTAAATTCACTTTCCACTATTGCTTCATGTGCGACTTTCCCATTGTTATTTTGGGAATATGGGTAAAACATAAACGAATCTGGCTAATTTCACTTCCACTTTTGTTTCTAATTTCGTTGCACTTTCCTTTCGGAGTTCTGCTGGAACTCGAGGAATCAAATCTCAAAGGTTTGGAAAACTGTACCCATGGATATTTTTTATTTCTCCCTGGTTTTAGGGAAGAGTGACTTCATGTTGGCTTTAAACAAGAACATACTTGCTGATTTATAATGATATGTTTGGGTTCTGTTGAATGCAAAGGGAGGTTCGACAGGAAGGAATTCCATCCGGGCTCCAGCTATAGGAAGTGGTGCGTTACTACAAATCATTTTCAGTATGATATTCGACAAAATGACTGAATTTTTAGATCAATCATAGCGTCCATAATTGACCATTGGCGTCGCGGGGGGTGGATCAGCGGATGCTTCCCCCCCCCCCAAAAAAAAAGAAATTGAAAACGGGGGAGGGGAGAGAAAAGCCAGAAAGCAGATAAAGAGATTAAAAAACAAGCACTTGACCCGATAGACCCCTACCACCGTAAATGGTTTATCGTTTCGTTAAAATAAGTGCTTTACTACTCACCAATCCAGAAATCCCCTCATAAAAAGTGCCCCCCCCAAAAAAAAATCCTGGCTACTCCCCTGACCTGAAATGGCCGTTGGCTGGTTTAATTCGTCTGATTTGACTCAAACGACAGAACTTATTTTAGCTCTCTAATCAGTTTCGTTTTGAGTTTTGTTTTCTATCAAGTATTTCCCGTTTGATATTTATCTCAAGCACCGGGTTAACACTTCAGTCAACTGTATTGACAATGCAAACGAGGAAATTTGAAAATGAATCAATTGGGGCTTTCCTCGGACAACCTGCAAACAGCGAGGAATTTATTTATAGCCTGGTCCGTTTCATTTGACTCCTCTGGTTCTGAGTTTTAATTCCGGATGTAAAGCAAAAAGGAAATAAAGACGGAAATCCTAAAGGAAATGAGCTCAAGGGATTATGCATTGAGCTTAAAGTATAATAACTGGAAATATTGAGATAAAATTCCCGTTAGTAATATCAAAGAGGAAACTTTACGTTAACTTCAAGAATTCTGTGAAGGTAAAGTCTGTTGACAACAGAGCTGAGAGCTTTTTAGCTTCCACCTGAAAGTGGTACCCTACCCAAGGGTGACCTTTTTTCTTTTTCTTTTTTTATTATACGGGCGATTACAGTAGTACGCCTCCAAGAGTTTGCAACGCGTTCGGGCCAATCACAACGCGCGAAATTTGTCGACCATTTTCAAACGCATATTGGGTCGACAGATTTTGTTTTTCGTTGATTGGCCAACGCGTTGCAAAGTCCTGGAGGTGCACTATTGTGAAACGCCCGTATTACAGACATATAAATGTAAACAGTGAATCGTCTTTATTCATTGATGCGTATAGACTCCTTGATTTGTAAACCTAGAACAAATGCAACAAAAATTAAAATGATAAATTCTTCACTAATTTCAGTATCTGTTGAACAATAAAAATAGAACACATAAGTCGGGTTTCTGCGGGTGGGGATACGTATGCTATACACCATGCTTCCATAGTTTTAAAAGCTAAGAACTGATGTGTTAATTCAACTTTGAAGCCGATTCGACAAGTTCTAGGAAATTGTTTGAATTAATTTGTAGAATTATCGGGCTTAATTTTAATGTTAGAACAACACATTCCACATGTACTCACTAATGAAATGTAAGTGCAACACTGAAGTTCCTAACAATGCGGAGAACTTCATTCGTTAAGACTGATTCTTTAATGATTGATTGTGTTATTCTCTGACGAGGTTTCTAGTGTTGCTTTGTCACTTCAGGTGTATTTGTTATTATGGGCGAAGTCATATACCTTCTAATCAACTTCATGTCATGAACAAAAAGTTGATGTGTTTAGTTATATAATAATATGAATTTTCCGGAAACATCTTTAGATTTCTTCCCTCCAAAAAGTGTTTTCTTTGCGAGTGAGTTACATTTCCGGTTGTGTTTTGTCTTTAGAATTATTTGCTCATTCATAATTCAGCGTATTTAGGTTTACATTTCCTTTTTTTTTTTTGGAAAAATCATGAGATCATTTAAGTTATAGTTTGAAATGGTTTGACTGAGATGGTTGTCTCGTTTGAACTTTATAAATAATCATGACAAAATAAATGTTTATTTTAAAATACTTATTAAACTCCCAGGAATCAGTCTTTCTCTTTCTGAGTTCTGTTTCACGAACAATTAAAAGTTACTTAAACCCTCAATGTTTTCAGAGAAATAATATAGCCTGTGTTGAATTTTTTATTTCAGAATTTTTGTTTCAGAAAAAAAAGATTCTCGACATAATCTGCGTAACTGGGTTCATATGCCAGGGATCCCAAAACAAATTACCAGAGTATCAAACGTTGATAAAATAGAGGGCGCCCTTTATCACAGCGGAGGCATAAGCGTTCAGCACAAATTGTGGGCTTTCCCTTAAAAATCCACGGTAGGCTCCCCTTTGTTGTACCCTTGCTTACCAAAAGCCAACTAATTAATGGAAAATATCTTCCATGCTAATTGGTACCATTAACACGTCCCTATTTGACTTTTCAAATTCAACTGAACGGTGAATAGGCCTATGTGTCTTTATCTTCTTGGCTTGTAGGCAATAATATTGAAAATCCGTTTCCAACTTGAAGCCCTAAATCTCCCCCCCACATGATGACATCACAGCGTTTACCCTCAATGCTTTGTCATAAGCTTCATGTACATGGGTTGAATATTAACAAGTTAATGTGCGTCACCAATGCATGAGGAGAAAAATGTCTAGAATCTGCCGCTGTCAGGATAGGCCTATAGTTTCCATCCATATATGGGCATGCATCCTTCGTACTTGCTATTGTTTGC